GTTGATTCACACACTGCTAGTACTATTGGCATGTCACATCAGAGGAAAGGGATGCCATGGGCTTTCAAACTCATGCAGCTGAAGTGAGCATCTAGAAGGTTTTACTGAAGAAAATACGGGCTGCAATGTCCAGAAAATGTAGTCTGACTCACTGGTGAACGGGTTGTTTTGTTTTTCAAATCCTTGGGGTGGGAATTAGAGGACAAACTTCCACAGAACTTTTGCCAGAGAAGGGCTTCCGAACCCTGTAGAGAGATAATGTCTGGTCTGAGCTAGGAAGATGTTCCCACATTCACTAGAGCTCCTTATCTTCTTTTCTCCTTTGCCTACATATAAAATAGAGCTTTCCCCAAACATACGGGATAGACCTGTACATAAGACTGTATATGATTTTTGGTTTTGTTCTGGGCTAAGAGGTCTGATATCTAATTTTTTCCTTGGCCTTTTAAAACACACATTTTTCATCTGTATTGCTTCTAGACAGGTCAAATTTATACAACAATAACAATTCAAACAGCACAGGTTTCTAAAAACTATAAAGGTTTTCCATTATATCAGGTCCATCTGTAAGTGGAAAATACATTGGTTTGTACTTTTTCAATGAATCAATTTTCTGAAGTAAAAAAGTAAAGTGCAGGTTTGGAGGTTTTTGAAACTTGTTGTAAAAATTCTGAACAGCCCTGTGTAACAGTAACTTCAACTTGACACAGGCCAGTTGTTCTGGTTCTTTATTTCAGGCTCCTTTATTACATGCACCTGTTTCAACTAACTTGTAGCTGTTTCTGAAACTCCTGACTGGCCTGCAGCCAGGATGCTCTGCATGTTTCCCACAGTTAATATGATCTAGGTCTTTAGAGGGTTCTTGGGGATGTGGGTAATATGAAAGTCCAGATAGATAAAAGCTTTTCCCTTACCTCTGCTCAAGAGTAGGTTTGCCTGTTTACTTCTGGTCTCTCTACCAAAAATTTTGGGAGGTTATTTTTTGAAACTGTTTTATGCACAGGTTGCACTTAAAGTTCACGAGTCCAGGGGAGTTTTGATCAGTTTTGGATTTCATTACAACCAGTTCATGCAATTTTGGACTAATCCTGTCTGTCCAGTTCCACAGTAAAAACTGTGGGTATCTAATGACATCAACAAATAAAAACAACCAACTTATTTAGCAAGTGCCTTATGCAACTGAATATTAATGTAAAGATACATTTTCCATTTGCAGTTTCTATTTGGTTCTGGGCAAAGTTAGGTCAAGTGAAGCTTTAATAAGAAAATATGATATGGTCACCTTATTTCTGGGAGAATTAGGCTTTTGTGAGAGTGTTTTGTGGCTGTGAAGTTATGAATAGGTTTTGCCCACTGAGTTACATTCTCCACAACTGGTTACCATACTCTTGTTTTTAATAGCCTCAGGCAAAAGTATGCTGCCCTCTCTAGTACTAACCTATATTTTCAGCATCTCCTCAAAAATTAAAATTGGGACAAACCTAAATTAAATTAATTATTAAACTTTCTTCACATAAATTAATTTTAACAGAAAAACATTATTAATCGGTTTAACCATTTCCTGGAACTTTTATTTTTTTCCAAAAGGCACGAAGGACATACATTTTCATGTGTCTCAGGAATTTTTTTTCAGAAAACTCAGCACATTAGAAAGTAGCTGCAAACATTTTATATGATTTTTTAATAGGATTTGCTCTTTGATAGCGATGGAGATATCAATCAAAAGGAACAGACAGACTAACTGCAGGCATGAAGGGAAGCACTTAGCAGGGTATTTTTCCATTCTGTGGCTCTGTGGTTGCATGAAAGCAAAATGTGATACTTGGTGAGATCAGAAAATCAGAAACTGAATCAATAATACTGCAGTTGTTTCAGAGAGGGTCAGTAAAGAAAGAGCACTAAATTGAGATTTAATGGAGTTAAAGGAGAAAAATTGCATTGTAGTTATAAGAAAAGGTTATTTTATTGTTAGCAAGCATCCTTTACTAATCATTTGGGAGAAAACAAATAGATTATATCTAAGTGTAAATGCAGCAACATTTCTAAATGCTATAAAATAGTTACTTAAGAAAAAATAGTTTTCTCTAAAACCTTTCTAAAACAGATTTCTCTAAAGATTACTCTAAAGTAATTTCCTTACTGAACTCTACAATGAGGAATGCACATAGCTCAAAAACAGAGGAAGAGAGTAAAAATTTCTAGAATTGAAATTGAATTTTACTTTTGCATTAATAGCCTTTTTATCTAATTCTTTGACCACCTCTGTGCAGAAATCAGGCTGGGGGAAAAAAGAGCTGTATTTTAACTTTACAACCAGCCAACCTGAGATATGTCTGCCTAGGCTAGTGGGAATACCTCATTCGCTCAAGGTTCAAATTGTCCTTGACAGAAAAAGACCCACTCCTTACTGTTGGTCAACCTCTGTCAGACAAGCGGGTGGAACAGGTTTTGCTTTGCTTCCTGTTCTGATCACCAGTTAAAAGGTTTTATATGGGAAGATATTATCTTTGATATTAAGATGATGAGAAGTGGAACAAGAGTGGTGTCCCCTGTTACCAGCTCTGGCTGTGGGAGACCAATAACCAAGAGCTTCAGGCCAGAGCAACTTCTCAGTGAGTCACTGCTGGAGAGCATTGGTAAGACCAGACAAACCAGCCAGAGAGTTGTTCCTTGTGGTCAGTGGTTTCTGCCAAAGATTCACTGACATCCTGAGACATTAACCTCTGTTTCAGTCTGCAGACAACGGTGTGTGCAGAGGGTGGAACTGTCTGCCCCATCTCTCCCACCTATCTTCCTAGCTGTGTGATCTTTTTGCGTTTTGTTACCTTCTCCTTCACCTAAGCACCTAATCCCTCCTCCCATAGTCTCCACATCTGCTTTGTTACAGTATTTCTCCACTGGCCCCCTCACCTGCCCCTCCCTCTTCAGTTTTTCTTTTTTTTTCCTCCCCAAGCAATTTCCATTTTTCTCTAATGAGACATTCTTTTATCAACCTATCATGACTCTCATAAATAATGGAAGGTAAAGCATTAAAGGTCTATTTATCACTTGCAGACCTTTAGCATTTCACTTGCAGACCTTTAGTGTTTGTCATCCCATATTCAAAATTATCCTTAAAAACTTAATTGTGCTTTTTTCTCCATATTTTAGGAGCAGGTACTCAGTGTGGGATGCTGAAGAAATGCAAGAGCTGTAGGCTCTTTCTTTACTTCTTTCTTTGTAACCCACTTCTATTTATCTACAAAGGATAACATTAGGTGACTAGATTTAAATCTATACAAAATAGTATTTATGTAAAAGGAAAAATGTTTCTGTCTATAATAGGATATCATAATTAGGGAAATACATTTTGAATGATAATATTATCTTTTTCCTGCACTTTCTGGTGAGTGTTTTGTTTTGTTACGTTTTGATAATGATGAGACACTATCAGGTTTTAAAGTGTGAAGAAAAGGAGCAATCTGAACACAGTGATCAATAATAAAGTACTAAACAGTGTTCCAAATAAGCTAAAATATTAAATAACTGGTGGACTATCATAAGTAGCAATTTGCATTTAGAAAGTGCTGTTTCAGAAAATGAGGCAAAAGTTTACATACCAAATCTCTAGTGAACTATCTGCACAGGCTTTGATTCAACCATTAGGGTTTCAGCTTTCCCATATACTCTTAACATCTTTGTCCTCTTCAGTTTTTTATGGCCATTTGTCTTGCTCCCCCTCACATTTTCAGTGAAACCAAGAAAACAGCAAAATTTGCGAGTAACTCAGTGTTATTTAAGTTACCCAGGACAGGTAGAATTCTGTGCAGAAATATAGGGAGCTTTAATCACACCAGGAGAAACAACACAGCTGCAAATTATGTTTCATGGTAAAAAAAAAAAAAAAAAAATCTAACAATGCACTTTCTGGAGAAGAAATTAATTGCTAAGACCTTCAAGCCTCCAAGTTTGCACATTTCCAGAAGAGTTATTCTTTTAAACAAAGATGGGGGATAAAATTCAGTTGAGGGTCTGACAAATTTAAATGGAAAGACCAAAGCAAATATAATATGACATACCGCTGAATAGAGTACTAGTCTATAAATTCAAATAATTCTAGGTAACCAAAAGGATTTCTGTCTATAGAAAACTATTTCTGTAGTTCAGTCACTGCTTCACAATGTGGGGCAGTGAGACGATCATTCAGGGTAGTGTTTTTGAATGGGTTTTCTTATATATAGGTGGTTTTATGTTTATATCCAGTAGAAATTTAAGGTAAAATAAAACAGAAACATTTTTATTAAGAGGAACTTGACAGCACAGGTCTTCCTTAAAATGTTGTTTCCCCAAAAAAAGGGATATTCCAGAGCCAAGCTCTTTCTTACCTGCTGCTCTTCTGGCCCCATGATTACATTCCTGGGAGTATACATTATACATTCCTGGGAGTACAGACCAGATTTAGGAGAGAATGATGCTCTCACACAAAATCTTCCTAGTTCAGTTTCTCAGGGTACCTGAGAAACAGCTCTGTGCAAACACGCCTCACTGCAGATCTTGCCTCTTAAACAGCTATTTGAACAACTAGGATATTATATATATTCATACATACATACATACATACATACATACATACATACATACATACATATATACATATATATACACATACACATCCTTTCCTTCACCTTGAGAATACCTTTTCCACCCATGGGTGGTAGTCAGGAGATGTTAGGGTGTCTAATTCACTGGTTTGATTCCACATAAGATTTTTGAGTTTTTCATCTATAAATTTTTCATTTTTGAGTTTTTCATCTATAAGTTTTCCATCTATAATCTGCTAGTTTTGTTAAAAACAGCAAGGTGCATTGACCTTCTGTTTGTGCAAGCTGAGGATGTTATGTAGTAGAGAAAATCAGAAACAATACACCTCCTTCTGTCTCTAGCCCTCTGATATGCTCAGATCTCAGTGACATGAAGTATGCATAATTAATCAACTCTCAGATTACACTTTCAGCGTGTTTGCCATGTGAGTCTGCAACCTACTACTACACAATTCCTTACGGCAAGGTCAAGGATCAAATAACAGGTGGCTTAAATGGTACAGCAATCAGATCAGAAGACTTGCTCCAAAAGGACGTTACCTTTTCTCCCTGTATCTCTATCTGTGTTGATAAAACAGCTTCTTATTTGATGAAGAAAAGCTCATAAAGGTGGTCTGATGAAAAATTTGTTGAGACAATCATCTTTAGGGTAAGAGTTTTATATGAAAATATTATCCTATTTTATTTATAGATAATAAATTTGATATATATAAAGAGATATATATAGATATAGATGATATAGATATGATGATTTGGTGGTGTTTTTCTTTCCTTTCAAACATATATATAGTCTGTTTTCTAACAAAATATAGTCTTAGAAAATGAGAGTTTGGTAACTAAATCATATCCATATTAGTAAGGTTATTTACTGAGATTTAAAATATATTTAGTCTAAGATCATGTCTTTAACAGTAGCTGGTAGAAGGGACTGTCTAGTGACCTCCCAAAAGTTCCTTCATGAGACAACCCAGTTATGTCTTTCTCTCAGCTCCAAGATGACAGAAGGATATGCCTCATTCACCCTAGCCCATGGAGAGCCCACACTGGTGCAGGAAAATATGTGAATGACCAGGAGCAAAAGAAAGAAACTGCTGTGTGCTGACCATACCCACCTCTACCCTGGGACTGTGGCACTTGGGGTGGATAGAGGGGAATTAAGTGGAAGATTGATGCTGAGTCTGGGAGCAGGATAAAGAAGAGAGTTTTAATCTTTGTCTTTGTTTCTCACTACCCAAATCCATCTTTGTTATATCTTGCCACTGAGTGGCTGAGCCTGTGGACAGCTGGAATAGTACTCTTAGTAAAGGAAAATAAAGAAGGCCCTCAACTCCCTGCAGAGCTGGTGTCCAGGATCTGCTCAGCTTGGAAGAAGAGAGTATTAGAAAGGCAGTCTTGTGGTAATGGAGTATGTGTTGGAGACAGTCTATGCGCATAATCCTAAGCCAAATATTTCAACAATTTCTATAAGGTCCATATTTCCCTCACTTGGCTCAAATATACAGTCAGGCACTGACCTGGAGCAATGAAACTCTTACACGCAGATTGGGAATCAATGGGAACAGTGCCTAGTAAAGGTTGCTTGAGTGAGGAAGTATAAGGAAACAGAAATATACAAAGTAACAATATTCCCTTTCTGCAGTTAAGGGATTTCCTGAGTCAGAGGACAAGCATCTGTCCTCCACAACTTTTAACAGTTGCATCCAGCTGCACATTTGCCTCCTTGTCTTCCTGGAAAAAAGGGAAGGGAAGGGAAGGGAAGGGAAGGGAAGGGAAGGGAAGGGAAGGGAAGGGAAGGGAAGGGAAGGGAAGGGAAGGGAAGGGAAGGGAAGGGAAGGGAAGGGAAGGGAAGGGAAGGGAAGGGAAGGGAAGGGAAGGGAAGGGAAGGGAAGGGAAGGGAAGGGAAGGGAAGGGAAGGGAAGGGAAGGGAAGGGAAGGGAAGGGAAGGGAAGGGAAGGGAAGGGAAGGGAAGGGAAGGGAAGGGAAGGGAAGGGATCAAAAATAATTTTATTCTTTTATTTTATTGATTTTAGTTTTGTGACTGCTATTTTTTGCTGTGGTGTTTATGAGGCAGGTGACCAGATTCAGGAAAAAAAAAAAAGTCCCAATGGAATGATGATGTTGATTCATTACATAGCATAAGGATATAATAAAAAAAATTTCTTGTATTTTATAACATTAAAATTACATTTCTATAGCTGCTAATACTTAATGATTTGTTAAATCTATCTGCAATGATTCCAGTGTTTTCCTGAGTGAAAATATGTAGTTGAAAGTGTATATTTAGTTAGGTTAATTTTTCTCCTTCTGTGTTTCTTTCTGCTTACTCAGATTGAATTTCACCTGATATTTTGTTCCTCAGAAACCCTATTACCCTGTGATCTTGCTACATTTCTACTCAGTCAGCTTTGACTGTCCTCAATAATTTTGTGTCATTGGCAGCAGACTCTGTTATCTGACTGTTCATCCACTCTTTCTGTCAGTCCTGAATACACAGAACACAATACACCACTGAGTTGGTCATGTATTCACACCAAGTGTTTCTAAGTTCCTGAGTGGTTAGAGGTCTATCTGGTAGAGGTCTGAGTCGTATGAAAGGTCTTTCAACTTTGCCATTGTCAGACTTCTAAAAACTTTAGAGGATTTTTATCTTTTTTCTGGAATTAAAGACAATCTTGGAAGCATTTTCTATGCCCTTGATCATGTGAAGACTAATTTTATAGCAAACACTGCCTTCACTTGAGAAGGTATTCTGGTTGACATGAAAAGCTGTTCTCTTGTGTAGTTTGCCAAAAGTTTAATGAAGACAAGAAATCTAAGAAGTTTAATGTACATTTATGCACATGCACCTTTATTTTTAGCTATTTGGCTTTTTCTTTCAAAACATATGATTTATCTTTTTAAGGCACTAAGTGATGGTGTCCCAACATCCCAGAAGGCTAGAACTTGCATTCTTTTCTCTTTAGATATCTAAAAACAATGGAAAAGCAATGTACCTTAAGATCTTCACTGGGAGCAGCTTTATTCTCTAGTACAGGCAGTATAATGGAAACAGGAGAAAAGGGCTTTAGTGGTGGCTGAACAACATCTAAAAAAATTATAGTCACTTTTTTCCAAGATACTGCAGCTTAGTGTATTGCTAAAGTAAGAGTCTTTAATTTGTGGAAGCTGGCATATGTAAGAATCTATCCCAGGAACTGTGGCGTTCACCCACACATAATTGGTCCTGTAAGCATTACTGAAATATTTATTTTTGAACATTTAAAATTAAAGGTCCTGTCTTCCCAGAAAATTATCAGAGTAAACGATATTCTTCCCAGAACATACACATTGTAGATACAGACCTTCCTGAAAGGAAATGTCTTATAATAATTATTACCAAAATTGTAATTTTGTTCTTTCATGGAACAAGAGAGTGCTGGAAAGGAGCCATTTTATGTATTTATATATTTTACACACTCAGCAAGGATGAATATTTTATTTTAAATGTTTATATTTTTATTAATTGTGAGAATTAAGTTGTGAGAAGGTAAGTACCTTCACTGCCTTTTATAAATTAAGGAAATTTGGAGCTGCTCAACAATTTGCAGATTTGGATTCCAGTTGTGTGGAGTATTACATAGCCAAATACTGAGCTGAAAAGGCTTGTTTAGATGAAAGATCAAACTGAAAGAAAATACTAGTTTAGAGGATACCAAAGAAGTGAAATGAGGAGAGGTTTTGAAGAAGAGATTATGGATGGGTATAATTAGATGAAATATCAGGAAAACACTTTCTAATAGTGAGGATTATTAACCTACAGAACAGTGTCTCAAGGGAACCAATTCAGAGGCAAAGGAATATATTAGCTGAAATATAAGCCTTAGTCATTACTTTCCCTATGATTTGTGTTTCTTACCCTTTAAAAATGTGGGATTTGCACAAACTGTGTTTCTATTTATAATAGATAGATAGATAGATAGACAGATAGATAGACAGATATAGACATATTTGCATACATACCTTTACTTTTGTACTTCCCTAGGTCCCCCCTGCTCTTTCCACAGAAATAGAAGGTACAGCATTTAATTTCTGCTCACTGTGCCTGAGACAAGCTCAGCGCTGCATGGTCTTCACCATGCAAACATATTCACACAGTTTAGCTTAGTCTTACACCCAGCCTAGTCACTCCTTGTAGAAACCATTGGGGTGTGTGGAAGTAACAACTTGTGTGGTAGTGATGGTTAAGAGCACCAAGCTCTAATACTGCATTTTATACTGATTAATTAAAGTACCTGTGAGCTTGGAACTGCTGTTAGCCATACTGTGGCTTTGCTAGAGCTGCTCTTGTCATATTTTTTCCCATGACAGAATCCTCCAACAGCTTCTGGGCCTGGTTGCAGAATTAGCAACTCCCAACAGGTGAGGGACTGAGTTTTAAAGAATAAGAGAGTTAGATAATATAGCTGTGGGCTCTTACATATCAGGTGTCCTCAGAGTATAAGAATGATCCTGATGCTTCCAATTTACAGTCAGTCTTTAGTTTTGAAATGCATATAATCAGTTAGATTATAGAGCTTCTTAGTTTACAGAAATGCTTATTTGCTATAAATTATCTCAAAGATATTTTGGGGTTTTTGCTGCTGAATGTAATACTTCAGAAAAATATTATTCACTAATATTCAGTCCTCTTTTTTTAGAACTAAGTAAATTTTCCGGGTGAATGTTTTCATAGTGCTCATCTATTTTCTCAGAATTCACTTGATGAGTTTCTAAACTAAGTTTTTGTGTAAGACCAGTCCATGAGATTGCTAATAAACCTCAAATAAAGTGTATGACAAATGGAATGAATCTGAAAGTTTCAAGAGAAAAGCATCAATTTTCTGTTTACCTCTGCCTCCTCGTTTTGCCAATTACATGGTTTTATTTTCAGCACCATTTCCTTAAAATTTTTACCTAGTTTACCTTCTTCATGTAATTCAGGGCTCAATGGCAGTTCTTTTCCTCTGTAAGTATCCAGACATATTATACACTGCATTCCAGAACTTTTACACTCTTCACATTCCCCTTGAATGAATATTATATTTCTGTAACTATTCTGAGACAAATTTATCTTTTTCAAAATTACTTTATGCAATTCCCAGTTTGATCTAGATATCTTCTATGAATCATCAAAAAAATTGAATGACATCCACTAAAAATTGAATTTTAGTGTTCATAGCATAATTCTCCAAGAATGCAAACAAAACACAGAAAACAAGTCCCATAAACAGAACATTAAAAAATATTCCTTCTTGCTGGAAACTCAAATGAATGATTCACTTGGATTCTTAGGGATTTTCATAGTATAAATGGCATGGGTTTAGCCTAACCTTTTTAAAGTAAGAAATCCCATTGATGCCAAATGTGACAACAAAAGCTCTATTCTTTATTGAGAAATAATTATTCACATTTACTATCTCCCTTCTCAAAAGATGAAGAAAATAAAGAAAAAAATACCACAAAAAAAGCCTTGTGAGAAGTCCAAGGCAGAATGCCAAAGACAGCATTCAAAATTAGAGTTAGTTAAAATGAGAGGGACTGAAGTTGCATAAGTAGACACTTAGCAGCATGACAGGTCACCCTACAGGCACATGTGTCACTATTTTTTTTCCCTCCTAAATATAGAAAAGAAATAAGGAGAGTAATTATGGTTTTGTGGCTTTAGTATTGACCTAGGTTTGGTTCCTGTTCTGCTTCCAGTCTTACTTTGAAGAAATCACAGAGGGTCAAACCACATTTGATGTTAATGCAGCACAGTCAATAAAGTCATGCTGCTTTAATCCTTCTGAAAATCCTGTTGGTAATTTTTCTGTGCCTCAGCTCCTTACTTGTGGCCTTATACTCAATACTATTTCCTTTCTCCATCCATTTGTGAATATTGCTTATTTACACACACACACACACACACACAAAAAAAAAAAAAAAAAAAAAGGAAAATAAAAGCCCTATACAGGAATACACTACACTTTCATTAGCAGCTGAGCAGCCTAAACCCTGAAAAGCATGGAAGCTTTGCAGGTATTTTCTTTCTTTCATGTATCCCATGGTGCAGGCTGAGCATCCAGCTGATCACAGCAGTCATGATTTGCAGTCTTTAGGAGGTTTGAGGTACCTTGCACTCTCCTTGACCTCTACAGAGCCAGATTCAGGTTTATAGGCAACCACTGTGCAGTTCTGAACATCTGTTTCTCAAGTTCCATTGTAATTCAGAATCCAGTTTCTTGAATTCTGAGTGAATACACCAAGGAATGTGGTTTGGTTGGTGACTTTGTTTTATGGGGACGTTGTTAGATTTTTGGTTTTAATTTGGTTTTGGGTTGGTTTGAATTTTGGGTTGGGGGTTTGCTTGTTTATTTCTTTGAGGTTTTTTAGGTTTTTTTTTTTATTGTCCAGTGTCTAGGAAGTAGATATACAAAGGCAATGGAAATGAGATGGAGTTTTGTTCAGTTTCATTAATGTATCTCACTTCTAAGAGAAGGAATACCACTCTCACTAGGCAGAACGGATGA